ATTGCCAAGCTTGGCGAACAACTCAACAGTCACCTGATCACTTACCATAATTCCATGTTTTCTTGGCGAACAAATCAACAGCCACCTGATCACTTACCATAATTTCATGTTTTCACACCTTCCGTCGTTCTCACACCTAGTGTCCGATCTATCGATAGTTCTCTCTCTTCTTTGTTCGATCTGATCAGCACATCTCATCTTTTTGAAATGCAACTTGTTTAGAATTTCGGACTTCTAAAGAAGAACAGACTGAGTTACGGGGAATTTCGCATCATTCACCAGGCCGCAAGAAGATCACAGTTATCGTTTCAGAAGAGCTTGGTAAACAATCGGTAGTTTGTATTTGGGCAACGTTTCGCTTTTGACACAAAAGCTTCATCAGGCCAAGTGAACAGGTCACCAAATTGACCAGGTTATAAGACAGACGGGGAACCAATCAGTAAGTCCTCTTCACACAAGATCATTGTTGAGTGTCAATTAACGGCACCCGTCGGCTAGTGTGGTTGTCAAAATCTTGGATTGATGGGTTGGAGGAGTTTCAAATTAGTTCCGATCGTAAAGGAAACTACTCACAAGGTTGCTGAAAACTCCTGGACATCATCCTTGTGAGTAGTTTCCTTTATAAACATGTACTGCGATATCTCGAATATCGTCCCAACTGAAACATGAGGCGGCGTGTATGCAGCACATTCAGTTGTAGAATATCATAAACGAACGATTCAGTTGAGTCTCGCGTCAAAACCAAATTGATTTGCAAATAAGTGCATTTCTCCAAAGTTAGTTCCGATCGCTTTTTGTTTTTTAATCTTCCACTCGAGGGTGTCTCACCTGATGATTCACCTCGGGTGCCACTGGTAGATTTTTCTTGATCTTCGTGGGCAAGTGAATGTTGCGACAATTTAGTTGGGGGGAGGAGAGTTGCGTAAGGTTAGGTGGAATCCAGATGATGACTATTCTTCCCTCAGATAATTGCACACCAACAAGTGTTAGTTCGAGTGATCCAAGGCCACAAGATCACACAGTTAATTGTGTGTCCCATTTATAAGAATGTGTTTGGTAAGTTTTCTGATCAACTTTAAGGTCATATCGACTGATTGTGGGTGCAAAAAGACGGAGCAGGCGCTGATCAACCCGCAATTAACGGCTCTCAACTTCCTTCTCACGTCGGTCCGCTTCCTGTCAACTTAAAATATACTGCCTCATATGTCCATTCGCAACAACCTCAACCTGCCCGACAAATGGATGCAACTCACAGCTTGTGTTTCTGACGCCGCCGTCAGTTCTAGCCAACTACCCGAGCGCCTCATTGCTTCCAACGTATGTGTGCCCCCCCCCTAACACAGCCCCACCTGTTCACTTCTCCGGATATTTCGGAGTGCGGTAATCGGTATCTTTCTTTATCGTCACTTCCGTCTGGTTATGAATCCGATACCGGTTCAGAGCAGCGATTAACAAGCCAGATGGGAAGGTGCCAGTACCCTCGAACACACATTCGTGTTCCGTGAAGCGCTATTTTGATGGTGATTCAAAGGGACAATGGACAATCCCGATCAAGAACCGACTTATGCTGAGAGAGGTGATGCCCCCCCCCCACCGTGCAGCCAATAATACTGGTTGTGATGGCTCAGTTCTTATACCTCCGTTCACCTGTCTCGGTGAGGAAAGTCAAACAGAAAACCAAACGTTTGACTGTTTACTCATACATGTATTTATTCCTTTAGTATACGTGGATATTCTAAACAGAGACAGGCGCATTCGCTCAACAAAGGTGAGAAAAAGGCCAGTTTTATATTGAGCAAGACACAGTAAAGAACATGAGAGAAACAAAGACATCATCTGTTAGTTGAAGTTGTGTGGCTCCGTTGCAGACGCTGTCAAGGGAATATGTTCTACCCGAGTATAGTTTGGCGTGGGAATAAAATACCGGGAGAGAGAGAGAATGTGTGTGATGAAATCGAATGAGGTTGAGAACGTCATTGAAATCCCACTGTTATCAACTCAGGTAGAAAAAGCGGATGAGACAGAATGAGGAAAGTAGCCATTTTTTTACTACGAAACGGAATAAAGGGGCTTATAAGAGCGAAATCCCTTCTTGTCTGTACAACGTCCGCCCGTCGTGAAGAAGAAAAAAGGAAAATAGCATGGTAAAAGAAACGAAAGTTGTTTCAATTCGATGATCTTTCAACGCGCCCGAAAGAGTAGGGAAACCCTTCACATGAAAAGTGAATCATGAAGTTGGTGCATCTGTAGTTCGGCATGCCGTCTTTCACGGCATACAATGTACACTCGAAACCCCGCTGTTTGACGGAATGTGTGTGTGTGTGTGTGTGTGTGTGTTGGTGGATCGAACGGCGAATGCAGCCTGTGTGTTGTGATCGAACTTTATTTCTGCTCGAAAAGTCGATGAAGCAGCGATACTATATTATCATAGAAAATATGGTGAAGATTCTGACAGAAACAGGTAACGAGGACAAGGCGCTGACATCAGCAGTAAGTGGTAGACGACGGTTCTCGGGCCTTACTCAACAGGTTCATCAGCCAGTAACATCGCTTTCAACTGACTATCCTCCATGCACCCCTTCATGAATTCCTCTCTGGTCAGCACACCGTCACCGTTGGCATCCATCTTCTCAAATATCTCCTCTGCTCGGGCTTCAGGACTCAGATCGACCGCGTTACTATCGGTACCGAGCATAGAGTAGATTGCCTGCGCAAGATAAGTGGTGGAATGGGGGCGTGAATTAGTGTGGAACAGGCGGAATTTAGCAGACAGAGAGGAAACTGACCAGAGTGCTGCTCAACACTCCGAAATGCTTTGCATGGTTTGCCTGGATTGTAGGCAAAGAAGTTACCATACAGAAACTGGATATTTCGCCCCGTTCTGAGGGATTATCATCGCGTGTAATTTTCGCAGTGCATTCGCGATCTATTCAATCGTCAGAGCTTCATTGATCATTTTGTGAGGTGAACTGGCTACTCATGAGTAGCTACAAATAAAGCTGTTTTCTGTCCCTTAATACCTTACATTTTATGTGCGACCTATCAAGTCGTCAGCAGTAGTATTCACTCGATCACCTGAAACCCAAACTATGAATGCACGCAGTTGTATGATCACCAGAAAGACACAACAGGTGAGTGACCGAAATTATAAAACAGCCATGATATTCCAAATTAACTAACACGATCAGTACGGCATTTGAGGACATTTGGATGTCCACTTTCGTGGTGAGTTTCTTTACGAAAGTACACGAATCCACGTCCTCTGTGGTCTGGTAAATTGCCTGAAGCTGGTACCTGGCCAGTGCAACATTAGTGTCTAACTCTGGGGGACGGATTCAAACTTTATGCATTTAGAACAACAGAAGGACGGGACGAGTGGCGGGTTGTCGAAGCGTTTTCAGCAACTTTATAGGTAGTATGTTGTATCAGAGAACTACATGTCAGCATATCGAACACCGTATCAAACGAGACACGAGGAGAGATCAACGTGAAATGCTTTCAGTTGAAGAATGCCGGGATTCTGCTGACTATCCAGTTTAAACCAGTTCAGATTGCACGTGGATGTATTTCGTTAGATAATGGACCTGTGCCTCCATAACAGGTTCATCAGCCAGTAACATCGCTTTCAACTGACTATCCTCCATGCACCCCTTCATGAATTCCTCTCTGGTCAGCACACCGTCACCGTTGGCATCCATCTTCTCAAATATCTCCTCTGCTCGGGCTTCAGGACTCAGATCGACTGCGTTACTATCGGTACCGAGCATAGAGTAGATTGCCTGCGCAAGATAAGTGGTGGAATGGGGGGGTGAATTAGTGTGGAACAGACGGAATTTAGCACACAGAGAGGAAACTGATCAGAGTGCTGCTCAGCACTCCGAAATTCATTGCATGGTTTGCGTGGATATTTCGCCCCGTTTTGAGGGGTTATCATCGCGTGTAATTTTCGCAGTGCATTCGCGATCTATTCAATCGTCAGAGCTCCAATGATCATTTTGTGAGGTGATCTGACTACTCATGAGTAGCTACAAATAAAGTTGTTTTCTGCCCCTCAATACCTTAAATTTAGTTTATGCGGAATTCAGGCAGAAAAACATCCGAACGTTTATAGCCGTGATTCAGCAATCCCTGCTACACATTACTCATGAGATCGATTATGACTGTGGACACCCACCAACGGTTTATCGCCATTTTGAAACCTAATTAAGAGTTATAATGCACTTTTGTAGCATTTTAGAGCTCCTGGAGAAGGAGGGTGGAGTGAATACTTGTGGATACATTTTAATCGATGAATGCTGGTTTTGAATTCCAAGCAAGTAAGTTAGGTAATTCCAAACAAGTGGCAGAGCCAACTCCGTAGTGAATCAAATTTACGTGGTGATGCTAGTGCGAAATGATTTAACCGGATTCATCCGTACAAAACGAATGAGTTTTCGGCTTTATTTATAAGCTGCACTTCTCATATCAAGGGCCACTTGAGACGAGATTTTATCTGGATAAGTGTCTCCTAGACAGGTGTGCTCAACCGTGAGGAAAATTCTGGTCGCTGTCACGAGGCTAACCACTCTACTTTGCGCTGGGTGTTTGTACAGCTCGAAAGGTGCTATCGTGGTTGATTTACTGAAAAGATGTTTCAACGATCGATCGTTCCAAATTGGTTTAATGCTGAGACGTCATACACTACTCATAAAGTTGCTGAAAGAACTTCGACAACCCTTGACCGGTTTCACCTTTCTTGGAGCTCATCATGCAGGCGCATTCCGAGAATTTTTGTCAACCTTATGTCCCACTTGAAACCAAACCATTCGAATACACTCATTTTCAAACAAATTCGGTCTTGTTCGAGACCCATCTGGAACTCAGCTGAAGCCCTCGTTTATGGTGGGTTCCAATCTTTCTTTGACACCAAGTGGACCTAGGTCACTAATTTCGTGCAATTTGTGTTTAAGTAACACATATGGTTGATGGTCACTAAGGAGCTGTGCCTACCTGATGTGCCTCAAGAAGAGCGAAACCGGTTGTGGGCTGTCGAAGAATTTCAGCATCCTTATGAGTAGTGTATTGAGATATCTCGAATGTCGTAACGACTGAAGCGTGGAGTGGTTCGGTGCAGCACGTTCGGTTACTTGAAAGCATCATCAACGAAAGACCCAGCTGGGTTCCAGGTGAGTTTCCCACAAAACCAAATTTGTTTGCGAATGAGTGTATAATTTGATGGTTTTGTGTTCTTTTACAAATCGAAAGCGATAGTTCTGTGTGGCCGATTCAATGGAAACCTCCCACGGTCATCCCATACAAGGTATTCTACCTGAGGAACGGATTCCACATATGGCCGTTCTCTTTTTCCTAAATGAACTTGTTATGCCCCTTCTATAAGCACTAAATCCAGAAAGATTTCGACGGTGTACGGGAAAACCCCTTAGTGTCTGGCATAACAGGACGTGTGACGTATTCACAGTGATTTGCTGAACCCAATTTATTATCGTTCAGCCTCTAAAACCCTTCGGCAGCCCAGCTGCCGTGCCACCGATGGAAGCTCGACCGCTGAGAAGCTGTTAGGTTGACCAAGTCTAGACAGGCGCAGTCGAGATGCAGCGCTTGGGTTCGAACCACGGAACTTCTCGAGCTGTCTTACATTGCTAGAACCACCTGTACATCTATACCCCCAGAACGACGTGTGAGCATTCGATCGTCTTTCTGTCTGTAGTTACAGCGCATCAAGTGCGTGCCCCAGATGATGAAGTGACAAATGAACCGAGAGCGCGTTGCCAGAGGCAACCGAAGCAATTAATCAATAGAGCAGACAGCTCACACATCCAGTCAACCTGTCCCCGTCTCGCTTTAACCTACTATTTACAGGCGCGATGGAAGGACTGTAGTTTTCGTCAACTGAAGCTAAGCTGAGCACTCAGAAATGAGAATTGTGCACATGACAAGCACCTGGTGAGAATGGTATTGTCCACCGAATGAAATCATTTATCTAACCTAGCCATCCTTTTAATTTGACACGCTTGTGGGTTCCAGGATCTTTTGCAGAAACGCAGCTTCGTGGTCATCGCGCTCACACATCCAGTCAACCTGTCCCCGTCTCGTGATTAAAACTCATGGTGAAACAGTTTCCGTGGTCTTGACAAGCTTGTCATGGCGCAGTCACCCACATACTTGACTGTTCAGCTCACAGTCGCTCACTGGATCACGAGACTTGCCTTTTTTTCATACTCACAAACCACGTCACATTAAGCTGACTCATCGGACATCGATTGTCTGTACCGTCTGGTGAGGGTGGCAATGACTCATGTGCTGACACCCACGTACACGCAAACGGACCTACATATAGGGAAACCGAACACAGTCAGCACACACAGACTCGCGCGCGCGCAGGGAGCAGGAAGTCAACGGCTCTCCACAAGTCCACGGACAACTATGGAACACATGTAGCAGCCATACCGCGGAGCAAACACGTTCCCGCCGTCCAGACTCTCACCAAGGAACTCTCTTTTGACTTGATCCCATTCTGCATTGTATTTTTTTATACGTGTTGCAACCCACCACTGTTAACCATACTACCAAATTTTATTAGGGCATATGCCTTCTGATTTGTATTATGACCATCATCAATTGCACGAATCTCTTTACCCCACTTTGCTTTTCTCGTTCTCCGTAGTTTTCCAGAAACTTCTTGAATAAAACTTGACAACCTAATACGTAATTTCCGGTGTTGGTGGTTGAGGCTCACGTGACACTCGCTTGAACAATCGCCCTCCTGTCCTCACGCAATCATCGTGGTGTGTCCGCACCAAAGAAGCAAAGCACTGGAGTCGAGTTTCGCTCATCTGACTATTTGTACCAGGACAGGGGGATGAAGTTTCAAACGGGAGTGATGTGAACGTGAATTGCAAGAGACAACACACTACTCACAAGGTTGGTTCGACAACCTACGACTGGTTTCGGCCATCTTGAGGTTTATCAGGGGTAGACACAGTCATCAACTACTTGAACCCAAGTTGAATAGATCTTGCTAAACACTCTCGCCTCAGTTTGTCGACGTTCACAGATCACGGTTGAAACCTCCGTTCATCGTCATTAGCGGAGCCAATCAATAAGTGATGTGGATTCCGAGGATGAAGTAAACGTCCGACTTATCCTGTTTGATTGCGATCAGCCTATCGTCACCGGGTGGTTTAGTCTTCACTTGATATTCGAAGGGTCGCGGGTGATCGATCACGTGATGTGTTGGCTAGCCTTTGGCCCGGTGTCACAAGGCCGACTGGCGAAACGCGCTAAATTCTCAGACTGATCCTATATTGCCCCCATAAAACGAGCTTGAGTGAGCGAGGCAAACGATCGATTTGCGAATCGACAAAGTTCTGGTCCTGAGAACTTGTTCTAACGGGTTGTACTCTTATCCAAGCTGTTCCCTACGCCAATATTAAGCCCAGGCCTGATCAGTCAAAGACAAACAAGGAATAGTATCGACGGTCAGCAAAAAACAAACGGGGCAAACGAAAAGTAACAAAAAAAATTAACGTACGCGTATGATCTCGACCATTTCCGACCGTTCGATTGTCCCATTCCCATCAATATCGTACATTTGATAAGCCCATTCCAATTTCTCTTCCGGGTCCCCACCAGATGTTATGTTGATGGCCAATAGAAATTCTTTGAAATCGATTCGTCCAGAATTGTCTTTGTCGAATGTCCGAAATACATGTGTGCAAAACTCCTCGGCATTTCCGTCAGGGAAGAAACCCGAATAGACTTCGATGAATTTCTTTTTACTCAACTGGCCGGAAGGACAATCTCTCTGCAAAAATGAAAAGATCGATAATTGATCGATGAGGTTAAATGAACTGCCAAAGGTTAAGATGATGCCGTTCTACGAGACATCCCGGTAGTGATTGTAGCCACAAATTTATGGATGGAAGAACGCGGTCAAGGCCATCTGTTCGTTTCAGTCTTCAAAGCAGTCGGTCAACTTGGAACCCTCAGAAAACATTACTCTCATTTGCAAAGAAATTTGGTTTCGGTCTCAAGTGAATCTAGCTGACTGTCTGTCAGTACTATGTTACGTCTAGAGACAATGAATTGCGATACGTCGTTCTAACATTAGACGTTCCGGTGCCGCAAACTCAGATGAAGCGGAACACAGTAAACCGGGGATTTCAGCTGGGTTCCAGGTGAGTCCCCTGTGAGAACTAACTTTGTGTGCAAACAAGAGTATTGTCCATAGCTGTCCAGTTTGGATTCAAATGGAACATTAGGTTGAGAAATACTTGGGACCGTTCCTGCCTGCCTGATGAGCGCCAAGAAGGACGAAACTAGTCGTTGAGGAGTTTTCAGCAACGTTATGAGTAGTAGGTTGTGTCACACAGAAAACGGCTCGGACCGGTCTAGATGAGATGTTAAGATTCATGCCAACTCAGCGTGAACGTTGTCATTCACTGCTACAGGGCTGTGATTTTAGACAGTGCTCAAGTATCGTCCTCAGCTTTCCCATCCAACTACCGTTTTTGACTTCAGTTCAAGAAGTTGACCGCATATCTTCTCCTCTACAATCGAACATACAAAGTTGATGAAAACTCTTGGACAGAGAGTTCCCAGGTTTCCAGTTTTCCAGACGTAGTCCTCAAGTTCTTACAATCTCCAGTTTCTTCTTGAATAGCGAACTGATCGTATGTTAAAACAAACGCGCTTTTGTAGATCACTAAAGTGCCATTCGGGGACTCAAACGTACCTCCCGTTAATGGTATTCTCCAGCCGCCACCTTGAGACAATGCGCAGGACATCGAAGTACGCTTAGAACAATGTGGAACTGTTCGCGGACTGTCAAGTAATAGAATACCGGTCCAAATGACGTTCAGATCTAAACGTGAAACTTGTCGTGAACGAGATAACAAGTTGAGTCACGAGTTTGCGATCGAGTGTACTCAGCAACCCCACAAACAGCAATGTCGACAGTACAAATCAAAGGCTTCGCACTTTGAACTACCGTTTTCCGAACTTTCTTCTCTCTGAGCTAATGGTGAAAGGAAGAGTGCCTTCGCTGCGGAGTTGTTTATTACAGAAACACCAACTGAACAGTTACCGTCTATTGGACAGAAAAGCGAAACTCTCATATGCATCTTGTTTACAAAACTGAATATCCATCTTCTCCTTGAAAGCGTCTCCCGGAACTTTCCTGGATATTCATTAACTGTTACTCAAATGCAAGCAAATGCGACTCCACAAACTCCGGCATAGATCTCACTTTTCAAGAGACGCGAAGCAGATTTACAAAAAACATACTACTCGCATGCCTCAACAGTAGTATCCGCCGTTAAAACGGTAGTCGTTGTGCAGCGGCTATGACTGGTTCAACACTTCCAACCGGACAACGATTGCATATTGGGGAAATCAAATCTTTCCCATAAGCCAAAGTTTTCGATTTGTCGAATTCAAAGTTCTGTTCACCAAACGGATCAGCTGAAAATTGTTTAGGACTGATTAGGTAGGTTAGGGGGAATGTCTTCATGTTTGAACTGGCTTCCCTCGTCTAGGACACCTTAATGGAATATTCCTCTTAAGGTCGTTCACAGATTTCGTTCACTTGTGTTCGTCAAAGGGTGCCGGGACAATTGGTTTGGGGATAGGTGCGGGATGGTTAATTGGGTCTAGCTCTACTTGGATTTTGTAGTTTTCGACCCAGACCATTTCGCTGATAACTGTACACCGCCCGATGTCATCTCTGCTGTTCTGAAACTGCTCTCCACACGCTTGCCAGTTCGACGCCCTCTGTTCTATTTACTCTGGGACGATTGGCGATTTCTGCCACTCGACCTCCCAAATCATCCCAACTAACCAGCAAAATGGAACTTAAGACCGACACCCAGCACTGATCACGTCGGCTAGTCATGAGAAAACTCACGGATTGGTTCCCCGACTGCCTTAAAACCCGATCAACTTGGTTATTTATCCACTTGGCCTGACGAAGCTTTTGTGTCAAAAGCGAGACGTTGCCCGATCCTTTACCAAACCTCTCTGAAACGAGGTCATTCCCCACTGCATGTGTTCATCTGACATTCGAAAGCAAGCTGGGAAAGGTGATTGGGAGTGTCACTACTGATTTCTGGACGCTTTCAAGGTACTTCAAGACCCCAATTCGAAGGGATTAGTCAAGAAACTGCTAAACATTTTAGGCCAGGTACGTTTAATTCCGGAGGTCGACGGCATTTGAGCGTAAATGTCCTCAGTATCTACCAGTGATGGTAAGAATCACGTGATAACCGCTTATTGGCCATGAGCACTAATCATCATTTGGTGGAAAATCAAATCAAGTACTTCAAATTCATGACATTTGGGTGTCACCGTTTGGATCCTTCAGTCTGTTGACTTCAACCCAGAAACGATTCGATTATGTAAATGGACTTCTTTGGGGTTTCGCTTCTCCTCGGCACAAGACTTGAAGTGCGATGGCAATAAACCAACCATACATTCACTGAATAGATCAGTTTTCGTGTGTGCTGTTGAAGGGAGTTGGGAAGTCGACAGAAAAGGTGGTCTTAGAAACGTTAGACTTGCCTTTATAAGTTATGGATTGATCAAACATTCGAAATCCCCTTCCTGGCGTCTGATTTTTGGCTAATAGGGTGGCTAGGGTCTTCCCCACAGCGTAGAGTCACCGTGTTCTGAAAAGCAGTGAAGCTGTGGTCTTGCGCTCGGTTGCTAGGGTCCATGAGTTGCTAAACATTACTTCGACTAACTTACACACAGAAAGGATATGACGTCGCTCGATCACGCAAATCAAACCATGTGGTCACGTGGTACCTAGACTGTGAGTCAGCCTGTGAAAATTTGTCTTTCCGAGCTGATTACTTATAACTTGTCGCTGAAGACAACTTGTTGAATAGAGGTAATACACTACTCTTAAGATTGCTGAAAATTCTTTGACAGCTCACGACTGTTTTCACCATTCTTGGGGCTCATCAGGTAGGTGAAGTCCCTGAATCTTTTGTCAACTTTATGTTCTACCTGAACCCAAATTGCACGAAATTAGCGAACTACATTCATTTGTAAACGAACTTGGTTTTTCGAGAGACTCACCTGGAACCCAGCCGAATCCCCTGTTTATGGCGTTTTTAGGTAACTAGATGTGCGGCAGCGCCTCATTTTTCAGCTGGTACGATATTCGAAATATCGCGATACATGTATAGACATAATACACTACTTTTGAGGTTACCAAAAATACCTCGAGAGCCGATAACCGGTTTCGCTCTTATTTGGCGGCCCGGTGCAGTACATTCAGTCGCTTAAAAGCATCAACAATGAGTGATTCAGCTGGGTTCCAGGTGAGTTTCTTCCAAAAACCAAATTAGTTTAAAAATGAGTATAGTTGACCGAGAACTTGTTGAATTTTCGGTGTACTATCTGGGGGCCGGCCAGATAATCGTTGGTTTTCTACTGGCCACCGAAAGATGGCTAGTTCGGAACGACAGATGAAACCAAATAAAGAAGAAAGTGTACAGTGTCCCTTGGCTTTCTGTCCTAATTTGATTGCA